CGTGATGGTCCCATTCCCATGGAGGATGTCGAGCAAAGTATGTGGTTAGCTGCTCAGAAGAAGAGTGCCCAGCTTAATCAAAGGGCGATGCACATCCTACAGTCAGCCATGGTGCCGGATGAAGCCGATAAAGTAGAACACTGCGAATCAGCTCGACAAATCTGGGTATCACTTGAAAGCACATATGAAGGGTCTTCAAACATCAAGGAAACCAGAGTTGATCTCTTGGTTCACGAATACGAATGCTTCGACATGGGACCAGGTGAGGGTATTCATGAAATGTACTCTCGATTCACTGTTCTTATTAACAAACTTAAAGGGCTAGGGAAAGTTTATCTTCTCAAAGATCTGAACAGAAAAATTTTGAGATCTCTTCCTAAAGAATGGTTCCTAAACGAACTGCTATTGAAGAAGCTAGAAATCTAAATACTTTGCCCATAGATGAATTAATTGGGTCACTTCTTAGTCATGGACATGTTTTAAAACAAGTTAACAAAGATGATGAGAAACGTAAGAAAACACTAGCTTTCAAATCACAAGTAATTGAGTATGAATCTGACACTGAACTAGGAGAGGAGTTCTGTAGAGAGTTCGCTCTGATAAGTAACAAGTTTCACAGAATGCTGAAATACAAGCAAGACTAGAAACAAAAATCTCTTGATCGGAATGCACCTTATCGTACTAACTCTTTTGAAAAATTCAAAAGTTCTTTTCAAGACAGGCTGCATACTTCGCAGACCAGACGTTTGATGCAGGAACTCAAGAGAAGGAGGCTCGGGATTGCTACAAATGTGGAAAACCAGGGCACATCCGTGCAAACTGTCCACTAACATTGAGAGCAAAAGAAAAGGCCATGAAAGCTACCTGGAGTGACTATGATTCAGACGAAGAAGAAGATTCAGGAGACGAAAAAGCCTTCATGGCTTCCATAAGAAATGAGTTATACACTAAAACCAGTCAGGACTCATCTACCTCACCTGATGACACGAAATGGTATCTTGATAGCAGATGTTCACATCACATGTCTGGTAAGAATCATCTGTTCAATTTTCTTATTATGAAACGTGGTGGCAAAGTCACCTTTGGTGATGACAGTCAAGGTAAGATTATTGGGTCTGGAAGTATTGGCAAGAGTCCATGTCCTGTTATAAGAAATGTGTTGCTTGTAGACGGCTTAAAACATAATCTCTTATCTATAAGTCAATATGTAGTAATGGAAACCGTGTTATCTTTGAAAATGATAGGTGCTCAGTAGAACAAATAAATGATAACAAAGTTGTGTTCGTTGGGAAAAGAGTTAACAACATGTATATAGTAGACCTTAGTGATCTGAGCCAAATTAATGCTAAGTGTCTACAAGCCTCATCAACTACCTTTGAGTATCTCTGGCATTAGAAACTAGGACATGTAAGTCTTTCTAAGTTAGCTGTTCTGTCTAGACTAAGTCTAGCTAGAGGTATACCAAAACTTAAGGATAAGGCAGAATTCTTCTGTAATGCTTGTGCAGCTGGGAAACACAAACGAAAAAGTTTTAAATCCAAACCTGATATTACCACTTCAAGAACGTTTGAACTAATACACATGGACCTGTTTGGCCCGTGCAATGTCACTAGCCTAAGAGGAAATAATTATGTCTTTGTTCTGGTAGATGATTATTCTAGATTTTCCTGGGTTTGTTTCTTGACTCATAAGGATGAGACTTTTGAAAAAATTCATTCCTTTGTCACTTTAAACAAAGAAAACATAAAAAAAAATATTCGTAGTGACAATGGAGGTGAGTTTATCTGTGATGAATTTGTTGAATTCTGTGACAAATCTGGAATAAGTCATTCTTTTTCTGGCCCTCGTACTCCTCAACAAAATGGGGTTGTAGAACGCAAAAACAAGACCTTAATTGAGTGTGCTAGAACCATGCTTCTAGATTATAATCTTCCTAAGTACTTCTGGGCTGAATCTGTGAACACTGCTTGTTATATCATTAATCGCGTTCTGGTGCGAAAACATTTAAATAAGACTCCTTATGAGATCTTAAAAGGAAAAACTCCTAAAATATCCTACTTTCATCCTTTCGGATGCCCTTGCTATACTCTTAATACTCGAGATTCTCTTGGAAAATTTGATGCCAAATATGATCCTGCTACATTCCTTGGATACTCATCCAAGGGCCGGGCTTACAGTTTGTTTAATAAGAGAACTAGGAAAGTGGAAGAATCAGTTCATGTTGTTTTTAATGAAACAGATTCAGAAACACCAAATACAACTATTTTATATGAGTTAAATGAACTCATCACTTCTTGTCAAGTTCCTCTTAGTAAACAGAGTGATACAGTGGAAGATTCGGAGGAGCTGCAACAACCTAACGATGAATCAGAAGTTCCCATTGAAGTGCCCAAAGCTCCTCCTCACATCCAGAAGTGCCACCCTGAAAGCCAAGTCATAGGAAACATAAATGACAGACTTCAAACAAGAGGTAAGTACATTCCTGGTCAATATGCTTTTGTTTCTCAGATTGAACCCAAAAATTATAAAGAAGCGTTAGATGATGATGATGAATGGAATATTGCTATGGTAGAGGAATTAACTCAGTTTGAACACCTACGTGTCTGGGATCTTGTCCCAAGACCCCCAAACGTCATTGTTATAGGAACTAAGTGTGTTTTCCGAAACAAATCAGATTAAATGGGATTTATTATTCGAAATAAGGCTAGGTTAGTAGCTCAGGGATATATTCAAGAAGAAGGTATTGATTATGATCAAACATTCGCTCCTGTAGCTAGGCTTGAATCAATAAGACTTTTGTGTGCTTTTGCGAGTCACATGGGGTTCCCATTATACCAAATGGACGTCAAAAGCGCGTTCTTAAATGGTTTTATACAAGAGGATGTTTATGTGTCTCAACCCCCTGGGTTTACTGACTTTGAACATCCTGACCATGTTTATAAACTTAACAAAGCATTGTATGGACTCAAACAAGTGCCTAGGGCTTGGTTTGAACGCCTTACAACGTTTCTTCTTGAAAACTCCTTCGTTCAAGGAAGTATAGATAAAACTATTTTCACAAAACAGGTCGCAGGTAAAATTCTTTTGGTGAAAGTCTATGTCGATGACATAGTTTTTGGATCCTCTGATCCATCTCTATGCACTTCCTTTTGTGAGACTATGAAATCTGTTTTCGAAATGAGTATGATGGGGGAACTAAAATTCTTTCTTGGCCTCCAAGTTAAACAGAACCCTTTTGGCATCTTTATCAATCAATCCAAATACCTTCAGAATATGCTCAATAAGTTTGATCTACATAACGTTAAATCTAGCATTACTCCTATGGTTGTTAATCTAAAATTGGATAGGGATGAATCTGGAGTGCCTGTAGATGGAAAAAAGTATAGAGGGATGATCGGGTCATTACTCTATCTCGCTGCCAGTAGACCAGATTTTCAGTATAGTGTTTGTATTTGTGCTCGATTTCAGTCAGCCCCTAAAGAGAGTCATCTTACAACTGTAAAAAGGATTTTTCGGTATTTAAAAGGGACTTCTGAAGTAGGTCTATGGTATCCTAAACACAATAATGTTTCCCTAATAGGCTATAGCGATTCAGATTTTTCTGGGAGCTTAACTGATAGGAAAAGTACTACAGGCACATGCTAGTTTGTAGGGACTTCTTTAGTTTCCAGGTTGTGCAAAAAGCAAGGTGTTGTTACCCTTTATACCGCTGAGGCAGAATATATTGTCGCAGGCAGTTGCTGCACTCAGCTTATATGGCTTAATAACCAGCTTAGGTACTATAATGTGATGACTAGTTAAATACCCCTTCTGTGTGACAATACCAGTGCCATATGTATGTCAAAGAATCCGGTCCAGCATTCAAGAACTAAACATATTGAAGTTAAGTATCACTTCATTAGAGAGTTGGTTCAGCAGAATACTATCATAATTAGTCACATCCCTACGAATACCAATTGGCAGATCTCTTTACCAAAGCCTTGAATGCTGATCGATTTACCTTCCTTTGTTATGAGATAGGGCTGCGATCTCCAGAGAATCTGGAAGATCTTTCCTGATCTCTCGTTCTTTTTGCTATGTTTTATTTCCTTGTTTTACTGTATTTATTGTCTTTCCTTGTTTTATGTGTCTTGCATCTTTGAATTCTTCCAGTTTTAGGTTCCTAGTTTGCTAGTTAAGTCTGTTGAGCCTTTCTTCCTTCTCACCTCTTGTTAGGGTTCTGTCTAGTTCGTAGCTATGGTGCTCGGGTTTTCGAAAACCTTCACAGGTACTCTCTTTCACGACCCTATTCCTGCCAACTCCCATCGTCACTCCATCTCTTTTGCTCACCGCCCTCTAGTTCTAACCTATCATGTTCCTTTTGCTGATCTCATTGAGTACGGTCTTGACGTCACTCAATATGTTACTGGGTTGGGACTTTTTGATACTCGAAACCCCTGAGCATATATGTGCTGAAGGTGTTCGCATGTTTTATCGAACTTTCGATCCTTTGGGCTTCACACACGTACCTTTACCACTCTGATCTATGGAAATCTTGTCACTATCCCTCTTGAGGATCTTAGGCGTCTTCTAAATATTCCCAAATTTGGAGAGGTTTTGGCAAATGATTCTGAATTCCATCATTTTAACTTCGATAGCGTTGATGAGTTTGTCTTGCTCACCGGTCATGAGCATGACGCATATCTCACTCTGCCTGTTGCCTTTCTGCTTCTTGGCCTTGGCACGTTTCACATTTTGTTGACTCATCGATTTCTGCCTCGCACTGTCCTTCTAGATCGAGTCACCCCTCTGTATCTTTGGGTTCTTAATCATGCTATTCACAATGTCCCCCTCAATTACTGTCATCTTCTGTTTGGTCATCTCTATCCTTTCCAGCAGTTTGAGTATCTCGGTCATCTCCCCTTTGGTCCACTGGTTACTCGGCTTATAATTCGCCTTGAGATTTCCCCCGACCCTTTCCGCATTGTCACTCCCAATGTCTATCTTACTGCTGACGATATCCTAGACGAGATTGCGATGGCCGTTGAGGGGGAGGATACTGATAATAGTGATACTGAAACTAATGATGATGCCGACTCTGAAGACGACAAACCGGAAGAAGATCCTGGAGACGACCCTGAAGTACCTGAAGGAGACGAGTCTGAAGGAGACGACTCGGGAATTGTAGCTCACTGGATCAATAGTGACGACTCTGACAACAATGACTCTGATGGTTCTACCTCTGGATCTCCGTCTCTGACAGATGTCTTGGCTGACCTCAAGAATGCGTACAATTCTGAATGAATCTCTCAGTTTTGCTAAGGCCAGCTTCGTAGCCTTGTTTGACAATAGACATGTTTGGATCTTCTTTGCTTTGTTTGACTGGTTTGGTTTGCTGGACGTGTCTTTTACCAGCTGATATTTAGACTTTCTGGATATTTTGGACTTTTTCGGACTTGTTTGTTTGCGTCCTATCTATTGCTATATTTTGGGAAACATATACTTGTTTTGCAGGGATCAATCGGCAATCTCTAACTTAGGGGGAGATTGTTGGATTGAAGATTTCAATCAAATCAAGTTAGAGATTTCTTAGGAAGGTTCAAGGAAAGTAAGCCGAAATCAAGGGGGAGCTAAGCAATGGATTCCTAAAACCTTCCCGGTCTGGAATGATTCAAACAACATGACCTCAACGGCTATTTTTCTGAAGAACTATTTAAAGGGAGCTCGACAACCATTTTGGGTACTGGTTCTGGGATTCTTTGTGGAATAGGGCAATGGGTTGGGGAATTGACAGTTGCTTTGATCGATACTGAGGAATAGGTTCAGTTGATCAAAGGTGTAAGTGAATTCTTGTGCGAATTCGGATCTTGTCGTCATATCTTTTGATTTTCACATTAGTGTATGTAATCGAGTCTTTTCACTTTCTTTTCTCAAATCAAGAAAATCAAAAGTGTCTCTCGGAATAGTGTCTACTATTCCGGGACGAAGAGTAGCCCTGTGGTGAACCTCGTTAAAAATTCTGATGTGTTCTTTACCTTCTGCTTTTTGTTCTTCGATCGTTTCCAGCTTCCCCTGTTTTTCTACACTTTGTTTCAGTCTGCCTGGCTCATACAGATGAGTTAAAATTGTTTCGGTTTATTTAGTTTTGGTTTAATCATTGACCTTTGAAATTCAAAATCTCTAAGTGTTCTCTTCCCATTTCCATTTCACAAAACCATTTCTTTTCTTCAGTTACCTCGGAGCTTCATGGGATGATCAAAACGGTCGAAGTCAAGAAACCGGGTTCTATGATCAACCTCCCTTCCAAGAAGAAGAAGTATACCATTGGGGAGTTCAAGAAGCTTTTCCGTATGAAGACAACTTCCCTCCACAACCCGAGGAGAAATCCAAGTTGGAGTTGGCAATGGAATCCTTCATAGAGCATTCTTTAAGGCCATGTTCCACTCCACAACGGAGCGAAAGAGTTTATTGGAGTTCATGGTGGAGCGGTTTTCCCGAGGCACCGATCAAGGGTGCTCGAACTTGGATCTCCCACAAGCCAAAGAGAAGTCCAAATTGGAGCTTGCTATGGCAAATTTTGAAAAAGCATGCGCCAACATGGATTTCCAACCAATCCCTCCTCCTGGTTTGACATTAGAAGAGAAGGTGACAGGTGCTTGTGCAGGCTATCGCCTCTCATCATTGGAGGAGAACGAGGAGGTTGAAAGGGAGATCATTGACAACCGTGTGGAGCAATAGGAACTCACCCCGGAGAGCTCCCGTGGTAAGGATGATCAAGAGGGTTGCATTGATTGTTTTCACACCTTTCCCCTTCTCGAGAACAAATTCGAAGATCAAGCCATGAGGGTAGAGGAGCAAGAGAATCCTTTCTATGATCTTGCATGGCATCTTTCCCTCCAAACCGTACTTGAAGACATGAATGGGATGGAGAAGGAAGAGGTAGAAGATGAGGAAGAGAGCATCGAAGAGGAGGAAGATCATGATTGTTCCCAATTGGAGGAACATATTGAGGAAGAAGAAATGGATGTTGAAGATGAAGTAGACGGAGCAAGTGAGGTCCAAGATGAGGACGAGGTCAAGGTGGATGAAGCATCGACGAGTTACAAGAGCTACAAATGCTTTCCACTCGACCTTGATGCACTTTTGGAACAGGACCCATTTATGGCTCTTTGCCAAGCCAAGGCCAAACCATCGGCGATCCCCTTGGTGGATGCAATGTTAGTCAAGCGATTTTTCACTACATGGTATGGGGCAAAGAGAAGAAGGAAGAAGGAGAGGTCTCGTGGGTCGAGCCTCAAAATGATCCAAGTTCACAAGCCCTCAATCATGGACTCGTCCAATGTTTGTGACTTGAGACACCACCTCACTGACAAGAACCTCAACTTCAAGGAGGTTCTTGGGTGGACCGAAACTTGAGGAGAAACCGTCCGGCTCACGACGTTAAAGATGCGCTTGGTGGGAGGCAACCCAACCACCATCGGTTTGTTTTCTTTTCGCTTCAATAAGACAACCATTTGATGAGATTTTGGTGGTGTTTTGGGATGTCACCTTGATCTTTTGGATCTCACCCGCCCTTTGCTCCCGATCAGCGACATTCACAACTTGTCTGGTAACATCTTTCTACCTCCTTATTTTACACCATTGAGGGCAATGTCAATCTTGTGTGGGGGGGGGGGGGAGGGGGGTAGTCAATTATGCTTGTGTGTGTGAATGATTGGTGTAATTTTGAGTGCTTGGATCCTTGTTGTATGCCCAATTTTTTTTTAATTGAGGGCTCCAAGCATAACAACTTCTACATTTGCATGATCATAGTGCCACTTGTAGTGATTTGTTTTGAATCTCTTGGTTATTAGTATTGTATATGGATGATTTGATTGTGATTGTGTGCATCCTATGATGACGACTGAGATTTGTATTAGGTTTGTGCATAGGTTCAGTTCTCATGTGATTGTGAACTGATAGAAGTTTTGAATCGATTACTCGCTTTTCACAGTTGCATATGCATCGAGTTTAGGGAGTTAGAATGAATGATTGAACACCTAGGTAGCCATGTGAGACTTGTGTCATTCGTTTCATTCTTGTGCGATAGATCCCCCTTTATATGATGTGTAGCGTTGCACGTTGTTGCTAGCAAGGAAGATGGAGGCATGGGATTAGTCCACGACCCAAAAGTTGATCGACCCTATCATATTATCCCTTAGTCAACCCTTTTTAGCCGTGTGTCTAAGGGTCGCTCTCGTGTTAGGTAGCTCTTGCTACTTGAGCTTAATTGATTTAGATAGAGAGACCCTACTTTCTTCGTGTCTACACCGCTATCGAGTCACCCTTGTGTTTGGAAGCTCCATTCATACCATTTGAGCTTAAATGAGGTTCCACATGAATGATTTGTGTATGGTCTTGCTAAGAATGAAAAAGTGAGTGTTGAATGTAGTTTTTCAAAGTGAGCATAGTTCCTTAAGTTAAAAAAAATGTGGCATGTTTTTAGCTCTTTATAGACTGCAAAGAAAAGAGAAAAGAAAAAAAGAAATCAATAAAAGGGCAAAGAAGAGAAGGGAGTGGCCACCAAAAATATAATAAATGTGGGATATGCTCTTAGAAGTGCTTCTTAGCATGCAAGCGATAGGAACAGTTATATGATTGTTTACCTCCTCACTATTGTGCTTGAAAATTGAATAGCACATGTAGCAAGAAAGTATGTGCGACATGGTTAGGTGATTGGTTGTGGTTTGGAATGGAGGGAACTGTGGTTTTTGGCCGAAGCTAGTGGCCATTGCTTGTTGAATAAGGTTCTAGTCGAAACCATAAAACCTTGTTTTGGTTTTATGTCAAAGATGTGGAACCTTATGTTATGTTTGCGACCACCCAAAAATCCTTTTTCCCATGTCCTAGACCCTAGCCAGTCATTTGAACCCGTGTCTAAGACCTCCGAACAAGCTAGCAACAACACCCATCTTATGAGCTATAGCATTTAGAGGTTACCGTCATGGTAAAGGGACGTTAGGATTCAGCGTGAATATGCACATATTTTGCATCAAATGGTCCTGACCCCACTGGTCGAGAGTGAGTGATTCATTCACCATGTTTTGTTCATTTCTTATACCCCGGGGAGGACCTAGGTTGCTCGATCTATGGTTCCTATGATGTGATCTTTATGCATGAGTGATTTTGATTGGTGAGTCGTCGAAACAAGGTTTGTGTTGGTTGATGAATAATGTGAACACTTTTCATTTGCACAATCATAATATAGTTGAATGTCGTTTGTGGTGCTTGCAATGATTACCTTGTTTTTTTTTTCATAGGTCGATGTTGAAATAACTGTTGAGATTCGTTTGTTTTGTGCCCTATGACGTGCCACAAAAATGTTTTTGAAAAAGAAGTTGTAAGCTTACCTTGTTTTGTGCTTGGTTTGCTTGGGGAGAAGCAAACGTTCAAGTGTGGGGGTGTGATTCAGATCCAATTGTACACATTTTACCCCTCATTTCTAGTTCATTTTGTTTTGCAGATCGCCGTCCCTTGGCCTATTTTACGCTAGGTTGTGCTTGTTTTTATTACATTTTAGGTCCTGGCACTTGTGGGAAGGTCTAGGACAAGTTTCAGGTCATTCGGAGGTCAAAACGAGCAAAAAAGTGGAGGCTGAACACTGTTCACGGGCTGGAGGCAAATGTCACGCCCTGAGACCTTAAAAATCACCCCCTGGGAGTGAATTGATGACTTCACGGTTTGGAATCATTTATCACGATCGCTAAGACCGTGAACTGAAGTCTCAGACCGTGAAGTGGCCAATTTCTAGAGCCATTTTCGTTCTCATTGGACTCAAGTCAGTTCACGGTCACTAAGACCGTAAACTGAAGCCCCAGATCGTGAACTCGACACTATCAGGAAATTTAAAGACATCAGGGGGGAGAGAGAAAGGGGTTAGCTTTTAGAGAGGAATTAGTTTCTTTCTCTAGGGTTTCGACCCAAAACACCAAAGGGGAGTTCTAGAGAGAGAGAGAGAGTTCTTGAGTGATCTTGGAGCTTAATTGAAGGCATTGATCAACCTTGAAAGCAAGGAATCAAGGCTAGAAGAAGAAGAATAAGATCTTGTGCTTTGTTTGTAATCTCTCTCTTATCTCTTTAGAAACTCACCCTCTTCTCTTGGGTTTAAGAACCCCAGGTTTAGATTTTGTTTCATTGTTAAAGTATGTGACAAATTCCATGTTTGATTGATGATTTTACTTAATTGATGGATGTTTTCATGGATTGCATGAGTTTGGTTTCCATTTTCATGTATGAGCTTTTAACATAGGAGGGAGAAAATCCCCTTAGAGCCCATTATTGGCATCTTTGGGTCACTCCTATCCTATATTGTACGGGTAATCCCCGAG